AGTCCTAACAGCTGTGCCCCCCCTCAATGGCTGACTCCACATAAGAAGAGAGGATGAAGCTATGGACCCGTATTGTGCCCCTGGATGTGCCTGTTTGTAACGGAGCAACAGAATCAACTCGCTGCAGGTTGTAAAAATATCCTCAATGTTTTTAAACGGGCACATTCAGGGGCACCTAACAACACAATGCTTGACTCTCTGCACCTCCTCCTCCTCTACAGGTCGCTCTCTCCGTACAGGGCGGTGGAGAAGGACATGTAGTCCAGGGCTCCGGGGACAGCGTCGGGTCCAGAGTAGGGCGCCATGCGGGCGATGCAGTACTCGGCCTGGTCGGGGGGCAGCTCCCGCCGCAGCTCGTCTGCTGTGATGTAGTTCTGATGGAGACAAAGATGGCCGACAGTTAGGACACGCCCCCTTTTTAATCTGAAGACAGCTTCAAATCATTTTTTTAAAGTATGAAAACAGTAAAATCTCAATTTCTCTCCAAACAGCTTTAATTTTGTCGTCTTAAGCTACTCTTAGGTTTAGCATAGCTTTAGCCACTTTAGCTTTAATCTAGCCTTCTGCTAGTTTTAGCTAGTCTTCCTCTTTTTTGACAGCACTTTGCTGTTTAATTCTTAGCCAGTTTGATTCTTTAGCCTTTTTATTTTAGCTTTAAGCTATCCTTTTTGTAACCAACTAACTTGTTGTTTCCATAGCTTGTAAGGTAGATACTGTAATGTATCCTTTTCTCACTTTTAGATGGTGCTTTGTTCTTCCGGCTAATGTTTTAGTACTTTTAGCTCGGGCTGGGTATCATGGCCAATTCTCTAAATCGATTCGATTTTGATTCATAAGGTTCTGAATCGATTAATCACGATTCGATTTGATCTGCTCTTACATCATAAAAATGGTTCAACTATGTTGCAAAATACATTATCACTATTTTTTCTCTTCAACATAAACAACAGGTTTTAAGGACAAACTTTTAAATTAAACTGTTTATTCTTGAAAGAAAACCGTCAGAAGTTTAAAAGGTTTTAATATATTGAGTAATATAAATATACTTGTGCCCACTCCTTTTGAGCGAATTAAAACTGTATATTTGTAATGTTTATGTTCAATATAACTTATTAAAACAAACAAAAACAACATTTCATCACTGTGGATTTCATTAAGATGTTTCTTAAAGTTTATAAACAATAATATTGGAAACAAACTAAATGATTTTGTTAGAATGTCGTCTTTTCTGGCCCCGCCCACCTTATCTCCAGCCAGGATCTTGAAGGAGGCGATGACCTGATCGGCCGTGTCCGTGTCGGTCGTTTCCCTGGACATGAAGTCGATGAAGGCCTGGAAGGTGACGGAGCCGGTGGAGTTAGGGTCCACGAGGCCCATGATGCGGTTAAACTCGCTGTCGCCCTGGCAAGAAAAAAAAAAAACCTCCAGGTTAACCCAGAAGAGACGACGCTTTGTGCTCACGACACACAAGAACGCCACATTCTGAGCACAACACATCAGGACTTTCAGAAAATAGACAGAGCCGCTGAACAGAAGTCGTGCTATTTTCTGTCTCACACACAGACAGATCAAAACAGATGAAACATTTGAGTCTTATCAGTCTCTAGAAGCAGAGAAACTAACAAGATGAGCAGAGACTTGAGAAAAGAACTCGAGGTGTCTGCAGGTTTAAAGACAAACTAATTATGATTTAATGAAAGCTGAAGGTTTGCTGATTGATCATAAATAATGTAACGATAATAAAAACCAAAGAGGATCGTCTCGGGTCACTCGGGTTTTTAAATTTGGACTCTTGGACCTGCAGACACCCAGAGGAGCATCCATCCAGCAGTACCAGGCTGTTTCCTGTCGAAATGAGCAGAGCCCGGAAATCATCCGAAACCATCTGTCCCGACCGCTTCTGCAGGCCGCCGGAGGAGGGGGGCGGAGTCACAAACAGACCCAAAGACAAGGAGAGGGTGGAGCAGACAGAGAGAGAGAGGAGGAAGAGGAGGAGCGATGAAGAGAGACAACAGATAAAGAAACAGGAAGTGAGCGAGGTGAAAAACAAACAGATAAAACAGTTAACAGAGAAAAGTCCTGCAGGAGTGTAAAAACCTGACAAACGTGAGCGACGAGGTCCACTTAGAGAGGGGAGCGGAACAAAGCAACAGAGACCCGGTGGACGAGCATAAAACCCCTCTGATGGACCCGGACCTCGGAGCAGGAGCGCTGACTGATCGTGTTCAGATTAAAAGTTAATAACTAAAATTAATAATTTGAAGATGACAGCTCGTTAGTGTCCGTCAGTGATCAGAGCCCTCCTGCTCAGAGTCCTGAAGGAGCGGCGGTCCAGGTCCTGTTCCGGTCCGGGAGCTCCTACCTGCTTGTCGTTCTCCACATCGTAGCCCAGACTGATCAGACAGGCCTTGAACTCCTCGTTGTTCAGGGCGCCGCTGTGGTTCTGAGGTCAAAAACATCCGACGACATCAACAGAGCACCGCATCGTGAGGATGAGCCGACCACAACGCGAGGGACAGATGGACAGACGGTGGCAGGAGACGGGATGAGGACATGGAGGACAGACAGTGATGGATGTTTAGATGGGGTCAACACAAACACTACCACAGGACTTTAAATGTCACATGACCCTGAAACAAAATACTTCTAATGGTTAACACAGGATTAAATAAAAAGTTCCGAGTCAAACAGAGGAGACAGACTGATCTGGACTCGTGGGACAAGAGACACAAAATGAGGAACAGGTGTGTGATGAGAAATGATCCTGTTTTTATCTTTACAATTAAACAAAATATAAAACAACAAAGCAGCAGTTTTACAGAGAAGGAAGCAGAAATAAAGTAGTCTGCAACCAGGGACATATAAACACAAACCAGGTGGGWTSAACCAGTTTGGKCCCCTGACCTTGTGACTAAACACAAACCAGGTGGGATAAACCAGTTTGGACCCCTGACCTTGTGACTAAACACAAACCAGGTGGGTTAAACCAGTGTGGGCCCCTGACCTTGTCGAAGTGGTTGAAGGAGGCGCGGTACTCGTAGAGCTGCTCCTGGCTGATGCCTTTGGCGTCACGCGTCAGGATCTGGTTCTCCACCTCGTTGATGGTCCTGGCGATGGTGGTCAGCAGCTGCTCCCAGCCCACACGGAGGTGCTGCAGGGAGGTTTCAGACACTTCAGCAGGGCCCATCGGAGTTTTGATGCAGATTATGATTCATGGTTTATAAAACTGGTAGCAGCAGAAACCCCAGATTAAGGTTTCAGATTACCTCCATCGTGTAAGACGTGTACTTGTTGTCGAAGATGAGGGCCTCCTGGATGTGCTGATGGTCCGCCTCCAGCTTGTTGATTTCAGGCATGTAGGACATGATGTTCTGCTGGTACTCCCTCAGGTGGGTCAGCTGGTCCTCCAGAGTGCCGTTCATCTCGATGGATATCCTGCCAATTTCCTGCCAAAGCAAACCCATCTAAATTACGACCCGTTTCCTCTGCGGCGGTAAACTTCTGCACCAGATTGATTGATTTAAACGCTGAATATTTTTGACTGCTGATACCTCCATCTTGGCCTGTATGTAGGCACCGACGGCGTTGGCCTGAGTGGCGAACGTGGCTCTCAGGGTGTCGTTGGAGTTCTGTTTGTTCAGCTCCTCCTGCAGGGCTTTGTCTCGCTGTGGCACCATGGCCATCGCCTGCAAACACATAGAGAAGACGTGGAACGTTAGCCGACGGCACAAAACAGCAGTCTGAAGGAGGTCAAATCTGCCGATTGATCCCATGTTTCATCAATGAAACAATAAATACACATTTATTTTCAAATAAACACCCCCTTCAGTCTGTAACCCACCTTCTCCCATTTGTTGTCAATGCTCTGGGGGGTGATGGAGGTGTAAGGGTTCCCTCCGCTCAGCTTGATGCCGTTACTCTGAGCAATCTTCTGCACCTCGGCTTGGATGGACTGGATGGCCTCGCGCTCCTTGTTGGCCTCTGGTAGAGTTTCTTTGAACTGCTCGTGGGCCGTGATCAGACCCTGAAACCAAGGGAGACCAAAGGTTTGATCAGTCTGAGGCTGTGAAACCAGTTTGACACCAGGTTAGCTTTTTTACTAACTTTGAATACTGTTAGCGGACCGAATAGCTTCCACCAAACTAACTGCTGGATGTGTCAGGCATCATGTGTTTAGCATGTAGCATCTTTAGCAGCTACACTTTAAATTAAGAGCATTAAAAAACAATAATAACAACAAGTACAAAGATGTTAGTTTGAACATTTACAGAGACTCTGTAATGGCAGCAGAGGGTACAGTTCCGCTAATCCGGTAACAGCAAAACTAACCTATCATTTAGCGGATTAGCTTTTTTTGTTCTACCTTTGAATACCTTTAGCAAACCGATTAGCTTCTGCTAAAATAAACATCTATTTTTATGCCATTTATCTTGAATTAAATAAAAATGATCCCCTCTTACACACAGTGGTGGTAGTGCCGAGCACTGTGTGTGTAGCGTGTAGCATGTTTAGCAGCTAAATTTCAAACTAAGAACGTAAAAATATATATTATTCAATACATGACTATGTATAAAATATGGTAAAATATTTGCTATTTGTTCTTTGACTATCTTAAAATGAGTTTGTTTTTTGTAAATAACAAAGAAATGCTTTTATTCTGAAAGGGGTAAACTGGAACTTAGAGCTATAGCTCTGGTTTGGATGTCCTGATGTGTTGCAAAGGATCCCGCCCACCTTCACATTAAACCAAAAGAAAACTAACAACATGTTTGCGTCACTCCCTTCAGTCTCCAACTGGAAGGAGATGACAGTCATCTTAGCGGTTAGCATTAGCTTCCACTAATTTTTTGTCCGTTTGTCGTTAGCAGAAGATTCTTGTTTAGCAGATTAACGGTTAGTGAACCTAACTTTTAGGCTAGCTGTGTCCACCGCTGTTAAAACCATCAAAAAATAAAATGCAGCTACCTGGATTTCGTCAATATTGTGGACGATGAACATGTCCTGCAGGTCCTCCATGGCGCCCTCCATCCAGTTGTTGAACGGCGCCGCCCTCTTGGCGTACTCCAGGTAGAGTTCATCTATCGACTCCAGCTGCTTCTCTGTCCTCTGCGAAGCGAAAAACAAAGGTTTTATCAGAACCACCTGAAAGGAGTGACATTAAAATAAGGTCATCTGTTGGAGTCGTACCTCCAGTGAGTCCTTGCGGCTGTGGGTGAGGGCTCCCAGGTTGTCCCACTGATCACAGATCTTGGAGCAGCGAGCGTTGACGCTGGCGGCGTCATAGTAGTCCAGTTCACTGTCGAACACGACACACGGCCAGTTAGAGAGACGTGAAACGCTCCGACGCCGCTGCCTATGCGACCCCTCCCCCTCCTGCTTACTTGAGTTCCTGAGCGATGGCGGCGATCTGCTCCACGCGGTCCTGGTGGGCTGCAAGGTCGCTCTCGAACGCCTCGTGTTTCCGTAGCAAAGCCTTCACTTCTGACAAGGTGGAGGTCTCGTAGTCTTTCTGGGTCAGCATGGCCTCTTTACCTGCACAGAAAGGTTTCACGTTTCATGTGTTTCCAGAACGTCATTTAGAGGGCTTACTACTTTAAATTCACAGGGAAAAAATATTTAAAGCTACAACCAGACACCTGCGTTTGTTTGTGACTGTCTTTGTTGAAACCTTTGGTCCGTCACAGGGATCCATGTCAAAACTGAAAACTTCTAATTTATCAATATTTTTACTTTATAAACTCTCAGTCCTTGAGGCTCGTCGAACATTTTGTTGCAAACCATAAGTCAGGGGCGGAGCCAGAGGGGCAGAGCCAGAGGAGTGGCACCTGATTGGCCACAACCTATTTAATTAACAATTAGGTGGATTTTGTATTTGCATTTAAATTTTGTTAGGATTGTTCTCTGATACTACTATTAGTTCTCTTTCTTTCCTTCTTTTCTTTTCATCCATTCATCCATCCATCCATCGTCAGTTTTGTGTGTCTAAAAGTGGCTAAATAAACAGTTGTGACTAGCATTCGGCATGTATGGATAGTTCTCAGCTACTGTTACAGAAAGTGTCCTGATGCATCTCAGAAATCCAGGTAGAAAAATCAAAAAGAAAAATAAGTAGGTCCTCTGGATGAGTTCTGAGACGTTTATTCTCTAAACATGACGTCTCAGTGACTTTCAAACCCCAAAACACATGATGACAAAGATTGGTTCACCCCAAAGATCCAGTTCCCGGCACAGAGTAATATTGTGTATGCTGTTGAGTGTCAGGAGGACTGTGATCAGTTATACATCCTGGAAACAAAGCAACCACTGTTCAAAAGAATGGTCCAACACAAAAGTGCAACATCATCAGGCCAGGATTCTTCAGTTTACACTCATCTACAGGCCAGGAATCTACAGTTTACACTCATCTACAGGCCAGGAATCTACAGTTTACACTCATCTACATTTGGAAATAGCTGTGGCAGCCATCTTGCATTTTCAAATCCAGAGTGCTTTTCTTTATTTCTATGTGTCCCCCCACCAAAAAAAAAAAAAAAAAATAAAACACGGTGGCAACCCCTTGCATAAAAAAGTCTACCTTGGCCACCCACTGCAAAAACAGCGACCGAACTCACCGTCGGTCCAGGACTCGTGGATGGCGGCCTTCTGGTGGAACTTCTCAGCCAGGTGCTCCAGTCTCTCCAGACGTCTGATCTCGCTGAGGATCCACTCCTCGTAGCCCTTCTCCGCTCCTTCCAGATTGTGCCACGCCGTGTTGATGTCCTGAGGGCCGAAGAGCAACCAGTTACCGACGCGAAGGGACGAGGCTCCGAACGAAAACATAAAACCGAGATACGTACAGACACCATGCGTCCTTCTGACGGCATGAAGGCCGGTCTGTTGCTGAGCCTCAGCTTCGTCTGCAGAGTGTTGAAGCTGATCTCTAGCTGACATTTCTCCTGGACCTGGAGACACAGATTTAACCATCAGATAAACAGAACTCACTCAGGACATGTGAAGGTTTAAAGCAGGATAGTCGGAGTGTTTTTATTTATTTTAAACCTTGGGTGGTTTGTGGACTCGGCGGTAGTCTCTGAAGTCCTCCTGCTTGGCCTGCATGTCGTTTACAGTCTTCTCCTGGGTTCGGTTCTCCAGCCAGGGGATCGTCCGACGGATCCACTCCAGCAGCTGGATGGAGAGGAGAAGAAAGCAGGAAATGTAGATTTAAACGCGTCACTCAGCGTTATGAAGGCGGGGCAAACGAGGGGCTTCACTTACGTCACTCGCCAGCTTCTCGTAGTCCTCCATCATCTGTTCATTCTCCTGGTTGACGGCCAGAACTTTGCAGATACGATTGGCTGCCGTCTCGGCCTGTCGGGAAACGGCGACGAGTAGCGATTAAACAAAAAACGCCATCGACTAAAACCTCACGACACCAAATGGTTCTGCTCTCGACATATTTATGTTTCTCCCTCGGATTTGTGCAAAGAACACTCCACACGCAGGCAGTGAGTTCTAATTTAAAACTTGTGTTTTTAGTGAAAAAAACCTTTAAGGACTTGGTTTAACTTGAATAAAAACATGCTGCTAATGAAGGTTAGTCCAAAGTGATAATCGTTTTTTTAAAACTCCATGCGTCTCCCATGAAAACCTGGAATAAAGGAGTGCTGAAGTCCAACATCAGAGCGTCTGTTTAGACTACTGAACCACTGAAATACAAAAAATACAAACACTTTAAGCAGCTAGTTACACAAACTGCTCCTGTAAGGTCCTCACTTTATTCATTGTACACAAGAATCTCTAAAAAACTACATTTGAAAGCTAAATTAGGTTCACCTTTCTCTGCACAAATCTGCTAGACTAAATTTAACTTATAACATGGTTATAAACATTTGAGAAGTGTTAATAGCTGAAGAGAAAATGGAGGCAGGAAGTGTTTTTCAGAACTGATGTTCAAAGACCCGAAACTGAAGCATCAGGATTTTGTTCTGGTTTTGTTTTTGTTTTTCCACACCAGAGTTCCCATCAGATTTTATGAAACGACGTTAAAAAACATCAAGATTTACTTTTGGAGGAAAAGTGTAAAATTAAGGAATCACCCACCGCCTTTCATGCCAAAGTAAATCGTAAACGATCTTTTATGGATCTCAGGTGATGAATCTTGTTTCGTTAGTGCTCAGAGCGTATCATGAGGATGACTCTCAGCTACCACGACACCAGAATTGACCCCAACGTTTCTAAAACTCACTGAGGTACAGCTGATTTTGAGTCAATAACCTCCTAAATTGATGCGACTCCATTATAGCTCCACTTTATGAAGGTAGCTCAAGAGATATTTTGCTAACAGAAACTAAAATATAAATATTGCACAATATGTAGCACTCGATTAGGGATGCACAGATGTGAAAATTTCAGCCGATATCTGATATTATTATTAGATTGGCCGATAACCAATATTTTTACGATATTACACAAACAAATTATTTATTTACATACACACACACAAACACGTATGTCTTTTTTTGATACCATAAAACAACCAGACTGCTGACATTGCTCTCTACTTCAGTTATTCCAGGCTGCAGCGTCATTATTGGATGTTAATATCAGCTCAGTTTTATGTATTGGATCGATACAATATTCTAAAAAAAATGACCATATCGTCCGATACCGATGTTAATGCCGATATATTGTGCATCACTACTCAAAATATATGTAATGGACAAAGTTTGGCTGCTACTGCAGCTGTCTATTGGCAAGAATTTGTTGATACGATACATATCATGACACAGGTCACGATACGATATATCACAATCGCGATACTGTAAGCAGCAGTGCAATACATTGCTATTTTTTTCTCCAAATACTCTAATAAAAAGACTATGCTTTAAATAATTACCCACAATGCTAATGTTTGAGCTAGCGTTAAACTTTTTAGCTGCTGCCAACTAGTGGTCGGAGGCTAAATTACAACAAAAATGAACCGCTTGCATGAAAGTTTGTTTGAATCCTTAATCAAAAATCCTTAAAGCGCTTTAGAGAATCGATACAGTACTGGGAAATGAAATATTGTGATATTTCAGAGTATCGATATCTTCTTACACCCCTACCACGGTTAGTTTTAGTTTAATATCTTCTAGCTGTTTGTGTTGAATCGCCTCACCGTGGCAGCCATCTTGAATCTGGTTGACACCAAAGTTTTATTTATTATATCAACACAAACAAACATTGCTTTGTCTTTGGCGGCAGGTGATGATAAAATCAGCTAATTTAAATTTAATCCTATGATTTAATTTATTTTTAGATTATCCTCACAGAAATGTGACGCCTGCCTGTAATCAAGCATCTGCTGGAAACCCTGTTTTGTTTTAATGATTGTTTCTGAGTCTGAAGCCTGAGGAGCTCACCTTCTGGGCTCCAGAGAAGGCGTGATAGAAGCAGGACACGTAGGTCATGATGGCCTTCTCATCCGGCCTCAGAGTACCCACGATGTCTACACATCACCCAGCAGAAAAAGAGACAGAAAAGAGTGAAGCCAAAGCAGAAAACACCGAAAAGATAAACGAGTCCAGCTCCCAGAGAGGGACCAGGGAGGTCAGGACTGCCCTGTTCAGGTCCTCAGTTTTAGGTTCTTCATGTGACTCCTGGTTACCAGGAGGAGGAGGAGCAGAGAGGGTTTTAGAGGTGAAGACTGGATTAAACTGGGACACAAAAACAAAAACCGATTCATGAATGAGTCTGTAGTTTAAGAGTTTCCTTCTAAAAATACAAACTTCCTCTTTATTTACTGACTTATTATTATTATTATTATCTGAACGACCAGAAGAAAATCAAGCGATAATGAAATAAATTAACACGTTTGTCTCCGCTGAGAGCTCAGATCAAGTTCTGACTGAGCCACAAATTAATTAGAGGAAGATGAGTGAAACACAACGCACGACTTCCTGTCTGAGTCTGCAGGGAGAGGAGGAGGAAATTTAAATCAAAAGCTATATTTTCTTTGTTTAAATAAAGTATTTAAAGCAGGGGTTTCCATTTTAGCTTCCGTTTTACAAAGTAACTAACAAAAACTCAGAATTAATTATTTTAACCGAAATGTGACTCAAGGAACCAAATTAAAGATGAGTAATATTTAAAAAAACTGATTCAACTGACTTCATTTTGCAAATAAAATCCACCAAATAAATTCAAATCTGCTTGTTTTTTTCTCAGCAGATCCACAAAAAAAGAATTTGAAAACTTTTAGATTTTTCAGAATCTAAATAGTTAAAATTTGCAGCACATTAAGTCTTTAAACGCATTGCAAAACCAATCATTTAAAGTGACGTTTAAACAAAAACGTTGAGGTTTAAACATCTCCTTTTATTTGTTTTATTTGCAGAGATTCGGGCAAAAAGAGCCTGGAAATTTTGAAAAGGAGGAAATCCACCTTTTGATGCGGGCGGCGCCGCGTGGTCGGGGTTAGGAAATGACCCTTTCTAAAGCTTTACTCCGAACAATAGTTGAACATTTTTACAGTTTTTTTTTTACCTCAGAGTTGCACAGATAACATCTACAGACCCATTTTAACCCTTTCAGTGTGTGTTTTTGTGTCCCAGTGCGTCCAGTGCTGCTGAGCTGCGGTGGCGGAGGCCATGCTGGACAGGAAGCAGCGTCTTGTTAGTAAGAGGAGGTCAAAGGTCAGGTCAGCGGGTACCTTCTGTGCTCCAGAGAATGCATGGTAGAAACTGGACACATAAGTCATTATGGCTTTCTCATCTGGACGAGCAGTGTTCACAATGTCTACGATGAGGGGGTGGGGGAGAGATCACGGTTAGGAGGACAAACACACACATACATGCGTCATGTGTGAACAAACACACAGGCAGGACAACAAACAACAGTTTTTAACCGTTAAACAGGACATTTTGTAAATAACACACAAACAGATAAAATATATTTAACGGCAACAGACTTTGTTCAGACCCGGAGCTAGAACCTATTTCACGATAAGATCAATGAGCAAAAAACATGTCCAATAGAATGCTGATAAGCAGGACTTAATCCTCAGATTAGATTTTTCTGAGATTTTAAATGCGACCTCCATCAGACTGTCTGGATGAGACGTCACATTCAGCTCACCGTCTCAGTAAATATGGACGCTACATGTTAGCATGCCAATTCTGAAGTTGTGCAATCAGAGCTGAATTCTCTGAAATGCTGGTTTAAGTTCACTGTTTGCATTTGAATCTCTGCTGCAGCGTGCATTTATGGTATAAAAACAAACTAAACTTTAGTATCGTTATGGTCCACAACAGACGGACAGTACTATCTTGTTTCTGTGGGTTCTGTCATTCAGGACATGGAAGAAGAAACTGGACTTTACTTTGAAGCTGAAGGACGAAATGTGACAAAACATCAAACGTGTTTGTGATTTAACACCACATATTTAAAAAAAATACATAAAAATAGGATTTGCTATATTCAGGGAAGGAAAAAATTTAAATGGGTCACAAAAGCGATAAAAACAAAAGTTATTTTTAAAAACTCAGACTTCAGTCGCATTTGCCTGCAGTGTGAATGTAGCCTAATGCTCTCACTGTCTGGTAAGTTAGCAACAACCTGTTGAGTAACGTGAGGAGCAGCCGTTTCATCTCATAAATGCTTCAAAAAAAAATAAAAAGAATGACGTAAAGTGAAAAAAAAATTATAATGATGCAACAGCTTGGGAGGAAATTGTGGATAAAAGAGGAAAGGTCTCCAGTTTATCAGGATTAATCAACCTTTTTTTCTCTTGGTCTTTACTTCAAATAAATAAAACAAAAACAAATCAATTATTATCAATAAACTGATACGAAACTTACGTCCTGATACATTTTCCAGTCGTACCGCTCAGCTTTATTTTATTATGAGATCCATCCTGATGGGTCGACGTGAACGACCTCCACTGATCTGCTAAAAGCTCAAGTTTCCAGCTGGTTAAAGGATAATTAAACAGCTGTTCTCGTGAGAATTCTAAAGATACAGCATTTTTGTTGTTAGCTACAGGGTCAAATATTTAAAAAAAGTAATAATAATAATTGATGACAAATTCTAAGAGGGTTTTTGCTTAAAGTGGACATCTAGCACCAGGTCTGAACAGGGCCTGAGCTGCTCTCATGAACACTTGTGTAAAATGTTAAATATCAGCGTCATTCACATGAACATGAACAGGAAGACAAACTTAACTGTACTGTTGAGTGACCAGATCGTAACGGATTCAATTGAAAGATATTAAATTAGCATCAAGTTTTCCCAAATATGTGGGACATATTTCAAACAGTTCAAATTGAAGCTCCATTAATTTCCAGCTTTATAAACATCTGGTCATACTATTGTACTTCCATGTTACTGTAATCATGCTCCAGTCATGCTACAGTCATGTGCACAGCTACAGACGACAATCGGGGTCACGGTTTTGCTGCAAAGAAGTGGTGAAAACTGCAACATTATGAACCCATTTATGGAACACGTTGAGGGAAAACGTCATCACAGATCATTTGATTAAAATCAGAAATGATAGTAAGACTGTTGAGCGTATACAGAAACTTTAACGGTATTTACCTTCGGCGTCCAACATCTTGGGGATGTCAAGGTGCTTCTCGGCCACCTCGAAGGCATTGTTCAGATTGGTTATGGGGTCGTCCTGAAACGATGAAAGGTGTTGATTTTACTCATTTTAAAAAAGAAACACTGAGACGTCTGAGTCTGACTCGTGAGTCCGCTCACCTTTCTGAGGCTGTCGTAGTCGATGAGATCAGGTCTGTGTCTGTGGATCAGAGCGTTGAAGGCCAGACCGTCCTTCCAGCTGATGAGAGAAAACAGAGGATGCATTTATAAGTTTCACTTAGAAATATTACATTTTTAAGCACTAAAACAGTGTTGTAGTGAAATGGTTTCTCCAGCAGGTGGCGCCCTTTCTACAGAATTCCAACCAGAGCAAATCAGAGGATTTGAATTCCTGGACGGTTACCTGATGTGGAAGTTCTGCACGTTGACGTTCTTGTAAGGCGCCGTCTTCCTCTGGCACCACAGAAGAAGACCTTCCTTCGCTGAAGTTTCTGCAGGGGGAGAAGGAGAAAATGTTTAGTCGGGATAATTCAACTTCACGATCTGCAGCAGAGTTTGTTTCGCTCCTGTGAAAACTCCAGGATATATCAGCTGAAATAAAACCTATTTTTCTAAACTGATGCTGCTTTTACAGTTGCCACATTAGCAGAAAACTTGTTAGTCAGGTTTTGCTGCTGCTGTTGATTAAATTAGCTTAAATAAATTAAACTTTTAGACAGTAACTTGGACAGGAAGATGTTGGAATTTTGTTACAAACACTATTTTTACACAAATATGCAGCTTTGTTTGTCGTTCCACCTATAATTGTGATAAAAACCAAATTTCATCCATTTTTACCTAAATAAAATTATAACTGCAGACTAATAGAGGACAAGAAAGATAGTAGGTTGTGTTTTTAATAAACTTATTTTTCCTCGAAGCACTTTTTAAACTGGTGAAGTTGGACCTGCCAGATGTTTCTGTCAGGTGTTCAAACCTGCTCCTCCCAGCTGCCTTTGAGTCGCCCCGAAATGTTTAGATTCACATCACTGCCCCGTCTTTTCGAGCCGCTCAGATCTGCCATCTTTTTCCACCCCGACTCGCCTCAACGTGCGTCAGTCTGAGCGCGCAGATCGACTTCCAGCAATGAGCTGCCAGAGAGAAAGTCTCCCGCTCAGGTGGGAATAAATAAATAAAAAGCTGTCACAACACCCTTAAAGTCTGCAAACTTTTACTTTGGGATTTAGAAAAACCACATGAAAACAGGAGTTTTAATGAATAAAACAATGTGATTAACAGATTTTCCTGCTGCTAGTGTTTCTGAAGAAGGAATGGATTGACAGCTGCAAAGTTTAAAAACTAGCATTTTCAATTCATTTTGTATTTAGAGGTATAAATATCACTTCAGCAGATCAACAAATAACTGCAAAATATAAAAACATAAAACTTGGGATCCCGTTATAAAGGCTGATTTGGGTCGTGGGAATGTTTGCACTTCAGTGAGCTTTTTATATTTATTTATTTACCGTTATTTAGCTGCGATATGATTATAACCCAATCATCTTGAAACTTTAAATACTACAGATTGTTCTACATAAACACAGATTTAGATGTTATGTCTAAAAAAAGCAGCAAAATATCAAAAATCCTAATAATCACAGGCTTGACCATTAGCATAGATGCTAACTTAACATTGAAAACACCATAGAAAAGCTAACTCAGTTGGGATTTTCACACCAATCAAACGATTTAATGAAGACAATCGTGTTATGATGATGTCAGCTCTGTACAGAAAGATTCTTCTAAGAGTTAAATAAAGGAAAAATGATTTTATCACGACATGTTTCCACTACAGGAAGTTACGGTGTCTGTACTGGGACAAACTGTCTTAAAGCGTTAGAACAGATCATTATTAACAAAACAGATTTTGGAAAATAGTTCAGAATCACCCTTGATGTGGTGTGAGGCATCTAAAAACTAGGTTTTATTCCAGAATGGGAAGATAGAAAATAAAATACAGATCATTAAGTCGTGTGTTCTTATATTTGCCGACACGGTTATATTTAATTAGTTAATTGAGGTTTAAAGGAAAGGGCGTTGTTAGGCTGTGATTGACAGCCTGTTGGGAAGAGGTGGGCGGGGCTTTGGTATTGAGCCCCACGTTCTGAGTGTGGAGCTCAGCTGCTCAGAGCTGCCGACGTTAAAGGAGTCACTTTGCCCGTCTTTATTTTCATTATAGGTTTAACCCAAATTATAATTATTCGTCGTACCTTCAACAGAGATGTCCTGGATGGCGAAGCGCAGGATGATGGTCCAGATCATCCCCAGGGTCATCTTGGCGTTTCCATCCACAATTTCTGTAAAGCACAGAGAAAAAGAGCGACATTAGTCAGTCTTTATATTTTTAAACCATAAATCTGCTTCACTGCCATTTTTACAATCTTACATCTGCTCCGTGGTTTAATAATGCCAACACACCCACCCACACACACACACACACACACACAAACTCCAGAGCCTGAAATATCTCAAGCTTTAAGGAGGAAGTGTAGAGCCTGCCCGATGTGTTTATCAAAAAAACAAATAAAACATTCAGTTTTTCATCACCTGGAATGATTTTCTGTATTTAAATATAATGTTTGACTCAAGCAGAAGTGAAGCTACAATAAAAGCTTGTCTAAACAGCAACTGTTGCCGAACACACCCCCAGCGTGCAGGGTGATGTCATGTTAGAAAGCAGGCGTGTAAGTTTGGGTCAGATTCCTCTCATACCTCCAACAATCCTCTCATACTTTTACTCTTTTCATCTTTCAGCTCATCAGTCACTCTCTCTCTCTCTCTCTCTCTCTGTCAGCTGTGAAATCATCCCTTTCTTCGTACCGACACTCTTCAGGTTGCCCAAACTGAACTTTAACTGGACTACAGATTAAACAAGCTTGGATCAAACCATCAGAGAGGGGAAGTTTCAGGTTGTCGTCTTCTTTTTGAGATCTTTGAGAATCTGTCACAGAGGGTCATGCGGCGTTAGCGTTCACGATGGGTTGTCATGTTGTGTCAGAGCGTAGCTGTATCAGGCTGCAGGAATGTCACGGTTGTCCCGACAGAGTGGGAGAAAGGTCGCTGCCGTTTTGCTACTGCAGAGCGTAACACTCTGTTCCTGGATTTCTGTCTGCGCTCAGAGGAAAATCGTGACTTTATGCAGCTTCAGCGCTGTAAGAGCTACTGATCGTTAACTCTGAACGATTAAAATAATTAAATTAATTTTAAAAATACACTCTAGTTAAAAGGTGCAACATCCAAAAGAGAAAAAATCTCTAAATCCTTTCCAAACATGAGTTATTATCCGCCGAACCCAGATAAAAAATAATGTTAGATCTGTCAGCAAAATATCTCATGAACCACTGGATGGATTTTAATGAAACTCCCCAAAAAAAAACAGATTAAAGATGGCCTCCACAGCTAATCAACGACTGCATCCTTCAAAAAGGACCTGGTCCACCCGGTCTAGGTGAACCAGGTTCTTTATCGACTGCAAAGACTGAAAGAAAGTGGCTTTTAATTTGGACGGTATAGTCTTTAGTTTTAGTCCTGCTCTTACCGACGCATGACCTGTCGCTAGGGACTTTAATTTATAAAATTATTATTTTGCTAATTTTGAGAGGAAAAGAAAAGTGGAAAAAAAACGCTCTAAAATCCTAAACTCTAAAGTTAGCTTAGAGGCAATACATGAAGAGTTAGGGACCCGCCGTGCGAGCTCATTTACGGTGATTTCTGACAAGAATAATATTAAAAACACATCAATGCAAATGACAAAAACCAACCAAAACAGCTGCTTTAAACCTCCAGATTTTTATTTAAAACTGTACTCCTGTCTGGCTTCGTGCATCATTACAAGAAATCTCAGGGTAGGCCCGCAGTGCATCATGGGATAGTGGTCTGAGAAGGAAACACCGGACCTGTCCTTCAAATCGGGAGGTTAAAAGGAGCCACAACTAGAGGAGCCTTCATTATATAATTTGGTGTTCTAGAAAGATTTTGATGTTTTTGTTTTGTTTACTGAAGTTTTATTATTGTTTCAATTTATACTTGAGGGAAAAGGGGCAGATTTAAGTTTTTTTCTTCTCTCTGCCACCTTTCATTTCATTTTATTTGTATTTTATTTTTTATTGTACATAGAATTCAACTTTGTTTTTTAAGAAAATAAAGTTTGAAATAAAACAAATAAATAAATAAAGTTGGGCAGCCTTTGGCGCATCACTGTGACTTATCCTTCAAAGGATGCAGTCCCTGAATTTGGACAGAAAAAAAGGCTCAAACTCAGTATATTTTTCAGATTTATAGCTAAAACTTGGTGTGGTGGTTGCTGAGAACCTTCCACAACGCATCCCCCTGAAGGCGATCGTACCTCATCAGAACAGTGACCTTTACAAGGTTTGACTAAAAATGTCTAAAACTCAGAAGACGAGCCTGTCTTACTTTATGGCTTCAAATGCAGCGTAAAGCAGATACCTTGTCTCTTTGGTGACTCAGCAATATTGCCAAGTTGCATCACCATACTGTAACTAATATAAAAAGAAACACGAAGGTCTGAGCAGGAGCTGCGAGTTGGTTCTGCTCCTGAGAAAAGGCATGATGTCACCGTTTGTTGCCTGTTTTTTATAAACAGTTGTGTTTTAATGCTCACCCTCCGCTCCGATAGACACCAGCTTCACTCCCTTGCTGGCGATAAAATCCAAGGCTTTGTTCACGTTGTTGATCTTGTGGACCCTCATCTTGCCTCGCTCCGGTTTGGGTAACCGCTCGCCTGCGGATGCAGAAGGGTAAACATTAACGGGGGTGAGTTTTAGCTCCTGCGGCGAGGAGCTTTTCCGCCGGCTCAGCAGAACAACGAGCTGTCTGGGCGGTTAAAGTTACAGCTTTGGTATCACTCAAAAATGAAGGGAACGTGGAAAAACTATTAACATTTCACGATATTCGACACATATGAACCTCAGTTCTGTAGGTTTGAAGCTTTGAAGGCAGAAAGTTGAGATTAGGTGGTGTTTTCTGCTGACAAACCTGAGATAACCTCCAGCAGCAGCATGAGTTTGAGCCCATCTCTGAAGTCCTCCTCGATGTTCTCGATTTGAGTGCCGGCCTTCCTCAGGTGGGAGTTGCACCACGCAGTGAACGTCTGCACAAGAGCACAGAAACAAGACCAACTGATTAATCACAAACAGGCTGGGTCAAAGTGTTATGATAAAAAAAAAAGGACAACACTGCAGCGATAATGTCACAAAGATAAACTGAAATCTGAGGAAATTAAATTAGCCGTTTAAAACTATTCCCACTGTTGGCAAAGCCTCAGTAAGACGATCTCTTAAACCGTTCCATCAAAGAACAGAAACTGTAAATAAACTCAGCCACATCTTACAGAAGCAGCAGAATCTGAACCATGTTTTCATGAAAAGCCACAAGTCAAGAAAAGCTGCCAAACAGATCCCCTTCACTGCAAAATAAACTGAACCAATCTGATATTTGTCATCAAATATCAAACACAGACATCAATCACTAGTTGGAAATGACGGTTTTTGCACTGCCGGTTGCTCAGCGTTCTTTAGAAATGTGTTTTAAATCAGTTTATTTATGAAAAGGAGCTGGTGGCATTGACGTAGACCCTGAGAGCATTTTCTACGAACTCCGTCTCGCCACGAATAAAAAGCTTGTCAACGCACAAAGTGCCAGTTATTGTATGATTTAAGAGGAGATAATAAAACCACACAGCAAACATGTTAAAGTTTCAGTCCACAACAAATAAAAACAACCAAAAACTTATTTTTACAAAACCTAAGTGCATTTTACACACATTTAGGTCAAATAAACGATTTTAACAGAAGCTTGAGATCTGAAGAAAATCTCATTGAGCTGATTCAGCAGTTTATGACTCTGAACTGATAAATCAGATAAATTTTCAGTTTTGTTTGCAAACAGCAAGCACATAATGGCCACTTTTTGATAATCATCTTATTTTAGGCTGTGTATTTTATTGCACACCTCAGTTCCCTATACACTCACCTGTGAAGTCACTGATGTGGATTTAATTGTGTAATACACTAAATAGTCAGATTTTGATGAGTTCATTAATAATTGTGTTTGATCTGTGTGGTTTTTAGGTCTGGACACAATGAAGCTACTGAAACAGCTTAGTGTTGCAGAAATATTTTTGAAAAACTACATAATTCAGTAAATACAAGCCTCTGAGACTCAAAGAAACCAAGAAACCAACAAATATTTTGGAGACGTTTCTTTTTGTTGCATCATTTATTTTATAAACAATGTTTAAAAAGTATTAAATAGTTGGATTCTGTACAACAGGTCTCTTTTGTCTTTTAATTACAAAGGAATGAGTCATTAATTCAGTTCAACTACATTTCCTGATAATTAGATTCAAAGCCCTGAAAACACAGGAAAGACTTTAATTCCTGCAGGAAAGACAGATTTTATGAGACATTCAAAGGGATCTCTTTCACACATGTTGGGTATTGTTGACAGAGCTGTGTGTTAAAAAAAAGATCAGTCTGTGCACTTGGAGCTGATTTAACTTCACAAGAACAAAATCTCAAAGCAGAAATGACCACTTCATAAAAAATAAATGAAAACTCCCCCCGTGTCTGAAGCATCTCCTGTTCAACAACATTATGACAGGCTGCTGCTCGCCGCCCCGCCCACTCTCCCTGCCATCCCACCGCCACAAAGCACCCATTCAGCCTGCTGGATAATGGCACCCTTCAGCCCCCGGTGCTCCCCCTGAGCGTGTGACCCTCCCCCACTAAACTGCCCCGGACCGATACCCCCCCACACACACACACTCCTCGACACACACACTTCCATGTGGACAGATGAAGAAGACGAAGGAGGGGGCGGTGGAGACACTGTTTGTTTATAAGAAATGACAAAGTTGGTAGGCAGCAGAAAGACAAAGGCCTGTCTGCCACACACACACACACACACACACACACACACACACACACACACACACACACACAGAAAGAGCAACAATGCGACAGGAAGTGGCACTGCAATGACAGGAAGTTTCAGCTCAGTCAAAACGGATTAAATCACTAAACTGGAGCCGTAAAACCTCACCGTTCTGTCATCAACACCTCGTTTATTTTCTCTGGAAACACACTCTATTGTGCTCTTTGTATTCAAATAACTTCTTATTTTCATGCATTCACCTGCTTTTCTGTTTTAAATATCAGCTTATTGCAAAGGTTAAAACGAGGCAGAGCAGGACTTGAAACTTTATAAAATACTCTAAACTGGATGTATTTGGTCGGTCAAAGTTTACAAAAAAAGCTTTACAGGAGAATAAAACCAACAGACCAGGAGCAGAGGACGTCGCTCTGGTCCGTCAAAGTGAGGAAAAGCTCTTATTTTACTGGCCCGTCAACATTTAAACCCTCACCTTTGGGTAGCGACTGGTGAAAATGTTCTGGTATTTGTGTGAGAAGTGACTTTGATCTTTACAAATAAAACAAAAAAAAATCAGATCTGTTCTCGGTAGTCTATTTGAGTAGAGTGATGATGAAACAAAACACATTCACGTGCATGATGTCATATGTAGTAATCTATCCAGGAAACCGCTGCAGATGCTTTACAAATATAGAAATGATCCACAGAGACAGTTTTGGGTGGAGTTACTGAATATGCGTACGGGGCTGTTGGATTCAGTGTAGGTCAAATAGGACAACATCTGTGCCAAATTTCATCAAGATCTGACCCTGTTTATGGATTTACAGGCTTGAAATAATTTTCAGTCATGTGTTTTGATCCTTTTGCCTACTGCTTGGTGGAAGTTGCATCGGAAGTTTCTACTTCATGATATGAATGAAATGATAGCCCTTCATCAGAGCTTAACAACTAATTCAGAAGTTTCTATGTTGAATAGTTTTAGAGCTACAGTACAATAATTTTTGTATGTCCAGACTAGGGTTGGGCATAATCGTATCGTGTGCAATTAATCGTCAGAAAAACATTAATCGATTAATTTTTGGCACTTCACGATTAATACAATTAATGCCACCAGGCAGACTAACCGCTTGGTGATAGTCTCTGCTTCAAATATAACAAACATTAAAAAAAGTTGTGTAACTTATTTATCTATCAACACAATTTAAAGTTTGATGTATAGCCTGAAGTCTGTAATTTTTTGAAAAAGACTTTTATGAAGAGCAAATCTTTCCCACTAAATTGGTCATGTGACTAGTATATAAGGGTGTCCAGGGACTCCAGGGGATTAATCGTCAAATTAATCGTTATTGGCTAAATACCACAATTAATCGTGATTAATTTATTTGCCAATATTGCCCAACCCTAGTCCAGACATGCCTTTTTAGATGGAGCCCCCTTCTCAAACATGGGGTCTATTGTAAAACTGTTGGCTGGCTCAGTGTAGGACGGACTCGTCTACATTCCTGCCAAATTTCATGTTGATTGTGCGGCTGTTTTTGTGATACGGATGAAAAAAAAAAAAAAACTATATACAGTATATTAATATGACCCCTGCTTCGCATGTGGGGGTCATAATGTAAATTTTGGTTTTATTGTTACACATTTAAAAGTTCTACATTCTTTGCTATCCATTGTTAATATGTTTTGTTTCTTTTCTTAATAATTTTGTTTAAATTGAGACTTGTGTAACTTTTGTTATTGTGTCATTTTTATCATGTAAATGGAAGAAAAGCAATGTCAGTTTCAAGAAATGCCCCCCCATTCCCCCACCCCCCCAAAAAAAATCAGCAACACATTTTGGGAATTGGTTTGACCAAGGTCAAAATAATCTGTCATCGGCCTTAAAAAGACCTGTATCGGTCGATCTCTACCTGAGGTCACCAGGTTTGGATCGGGATCTAAAGAACCAGATCCTGAATACAAGCAGCAGTTTTTTCCAGGCAGGTCCCAGTAAAAAGAGACCCAGGGGAAAACCCAGAACAGAAGGGATTATAGATCCAACAGTTTCCAGGTCCATCAGAGCTGCAGCGTCTCGTCTGACATGTTTGGGTTTATGAATCCTGTTTCCTCCGCGCTGACTGCCGTTTTCCCCTCCTTTTGTTTTGCATTTCTTCGTCCCTTTTTCCTTTGTTTTCTGACACCCTGACGTCTTCCTTCCCCGCGGCTGACTGGAAACAACATGTTTGGCCACACTCTGTGTTAAATTACCTTCTTGTAGGTGTTTTATAATCCTCTGCGTTGTTTCGGCTGACAGCTCGCTGGTTGGGGTCTAGCTTTCTGCCAATCAGGCAGTTCCCAACAGCTCATTAAAGTCTGCAAAGAGCTTATTAAATACAAACTCATTTGCACATTTTACAGTGTTTTGTTTTTTCCCTTCGTATAAAAGCTTTTATTTTAAAAACTTGAATTCTTTAGGTATGTTTTAAAGATCCATAATGTTTGGTGAAATATTTTATTTCTGTTATAATTTTGTTGTTGCAGATGATAAAGTTCAGCAGCAGGTTTTTCATGATGTATTATATTTATTATACGGTTTAGATATTATCTTTGAGCTTCCCCATCACTCTGGAGTAAATGATCAGTTTGTTCTGGATCTGTAATTATTAATAAATAAAAAAAATGTAATCTGGATTAGATTCTTGTTTAATTTTTCTTATCTTAACCGTGCTGCTTTAACGAGTGGACACTGCTCTCCTTTATGATGCAGGATCACAACTCAACCAAGCCGAGTCTGCAAGTTAATACGTTAACAACAGGTGGATCATGTGACTTTAACTACCTTTTAACCTCACACAAGAAGGTTCCCATGTGATCTGAACTGACCTTTATTCTCTTTAACAGCTTTATGACTTTGACTGACTCAGGCTTTCAAAAAAAAAAAAAAAGGTCAAATTATATGTTGAGTTTAAGCACACTTCCTGCTGGGAGATCTAGCTTTAGCTCGGTGAGTAATCAGCTTGGACTGAATTAAAAGTTAACTGATGAATCCTGTTTAACCTGACCATGTGTTGACCGCACAGATCGGATCAGATGAGGAGAACTCTGACCTCAGCCGGGGATGTGGATAACGAGCTGAAGGGCGGGAAAGCGGGATCGGACCGTTAAGGAGGTTTACATTTGGAGGCAGGAAGCTTATATCTTCTGCTGTCTATTATATAACTGCTTTGGCAGCAGAGAATATAAAAAAAATCTGCTTTTGATCA